TAAGAGCGCACAGGGGCTGGGGAGATAGCTCAGTAGAATAAGTGCTTGCTTGGCAAGCGTAATGGCCTGAATTCAAGCCCCAGTTCTGCCAATAAATAAATAAATAAATAAAATAGGATTTTTAAAAAAAGAGTGCACAGCTTTATTCAATTACTTTCATTGCCCTGAAAGGTCAGTTTAATTAGGCTCTGTTAGATACTGATGAGCCTATGAAGAGATATTTCTCAATGATTGACTGCTTATACCAAGCAATAATTGACAAAACCAGGTATATAATAAGGCTGTATTTCAAACACTTTCATGGCTTATACAGAGATGTCCCCCAAAGTCTCATGTGCTCATAGATGGGGCTTTTCTGAGGTAGCTGGATCTAGGGTGTGTGATACTAAGATTAAGGGTGTGTGACAGATAAATGGCTTTAGCACACTTCAGAGTGTGGATAATGGAATCCCTGTCCTGAGTGTGGGTGGCATCTACCAATAGGCTTATAGCCTGGATGGAATATAAGGGAGATAGGCAAGGCAGGCTTGCTGCTGCTGTTGCTGCTGCTGGCGCCGCCGCCACCTCCTTCCCTGCCATGGACTTTTTCTCCTCTGTGATGCTCCTCTTCCATGACTCCCTGCCTTGGAGCCGACTGACTACAAACTGTGAGATGAAATCATCCTTTCCTCCTTTAACTTGTAGGCATCGGGTGTTTTGACTCAGCAACAAGTCAGATGTATAATGAGTGAAATGTACTTGTGGAGGTTGTCTATTCATTGTTATTTTCTTGGGAAACAAACATTTTTTAACAGTACTATTTGAGGTTCTTCTACTACAGAGTTAAAGTCTTTCATGCTGTCCAAAATGGAAATTTAGAAGAGATAAACAGTGATGCTCTTATGTGTCACAAACACTCTGCATGGGGAGCCTGTGAGAGTTTAAATGAAAGCTTCACACCCTTGCAAGATGCCTCCTGATAGAGTCCAGAAAAAGAAAATGAGGCGATGACACAGGACATCCACTCCCATTAATAACTGAGACCTGGAACAGCAGGTGGCCACAAGCCACTCAGCGAGGGAGGCTAGCCAGGATCCAGGCGAGGAAGTCAGAGCCCACAGCACTCGTGCCTACAGCAGTGAGCCTGCAGGGCCAGCTGCAAATGGGTTGCTACAGGAAGGAGTCACAACTGTGGACAACTGTACGACTTTACAGACATCAATTTTATCCACAAGAAGAGTGGATATCTAAGGAATCCCCAAAGATAGACCCAAACCTGGAAGCAGACCCACCTTCCACCGTATGTCACAAGGATTGCACTAGACATCAGGAGCAGTTTTATGTAAGCCACTCACGTCACCTTTGCTTCACTCTTCATTCTCACTGGTGAACGTGCGATCCAGGCACAAGCTCCTCCTCACATAGATCCACACTCGCCCTGCCTCCTCCCTGGTCATGCCAATGTCCCCACTTCTCACACACATCATGCCCCATGATTCTCCTTCCAGTTTCACTGGATCAAAATGTCACGAGTCCTATGGCTATTTAAGGGACCTCTAAGAAAGAACACTGCCATTTAAACTATGTCATGCACTGACCTGATAGTTCTGTAAGGTACAAAACTCTTGTTGACTGGAGGGGTTGGGGGGGGCTCGTTTTGTGGCTGGGGCTTCAGGGGAGACATCCTGCCTCCCTGCAGAGCAGACTGGGGACACAGAAGAGTGAGTCTGATGTTGGGGTTCTGCCAGCTGAGATCCTGTGCAAGGCACTAGTTTTATTTTTGAGAACTGTCTTACGTCACACTCATTAAGTCACAAATAGTATTTTTTTAATTGGAAAAATCTGTGATGCTTATGTGATTAAAAAATAAATGCTATATGAAAAAGAAAAAAAAAATAAATAAACTATGTCATGGTGCCCCTTATTGTCTACAAATTCTGTTTTCTGCTCCCTGAGAGCCATTTTAAAACTTCCTAAATCCATATTGTCATCATAGAACTTGGGAAGTGAACATTGTACAAAAAGGACAAGGAGAAGACAGTAGGAACAAGTTTCTGGATCCTTCCAAGACTTTTGCCTGTAGACTCAGACTTCTGCTCACATTTCTGGTTCAACTCAAGGTTGTGTGTGCTCTCCCAGGCAATGTGGGAAGGAGGCTCTAAGCTGCTTACACCAACCTGCACATTTCGGTGCTTTCTGATCATCTCTTGCATCTTCCTCAGAAAAGAGATGCAAACTCATCTTGTGACGCCCTGCTGTAGGATGGGAAGCCACATGGAGGAGAAAACAAAGTGCCCCAAAACCAGTATGTGTCATTGAGGTTGGGTAGATACCCCAACTCTACCCAGAGGAGTTGTGAGATAATACCAGCCTAGGACCATCCAGGCCAATGCAAAAATCAGGGAAATATAAATCCTTGTTATCTGGGGCTGCGTGGTCCAGGAATGCTTGTCACACAGCACAGATCACTGAAGCTGACAGTTTCAATATCAGCCCCCCTGCCTTAGGTCCCACAAAAAGGGTGCCCACAAGTCCCTCTGGAAGGCAAGATGAATGTGTTCCACCAATATCCGATTTATGTCTTGATCTGCTGCTTTTCTGCCTTTCTGTGTACGTAATAACTTTTCGTGTCAATTCTGAATCATAGCAAAATCATTTGGAGTAGATTCTACCCAGCCATTAAACTTCACATGCACAGAGTTGACCTCACATGTGTTTTGACTGAGGATAGAGTAGAAGGAGCAGCTGCAGCCTCTTGTCAAGTGACAAGAGACCAATGGCAAGTTACATCCACAGCATGACCGCCAATAAGTCCTGAGAGACAGCCTTAATTTGGAGAAGATGCCCCAACATATAAAATGCCCATCATAGAGTCAACAGCGTGCAGTGTTGGTCCAACCTACAGCTCCACCCCACCTGCCACCTTTCCAGGAAGGCTGCAGTCACTCAGCACTGGCCTCATCCTGTCTGTGCTGCTCTGCTTTCAGGCCAAACATTTTATGCCATCATTGACAGCAATTACTGAATGGACTTTATCTACCCTTCTTTAAATTCAGATCCCTACACACAAAAACACCTTCCCCCCATGACTCCCATCTGTCTCCACCCACCTCCATGGGCAGTGCCTCACATTCCAGGGAAGGCTGTCTCTGTTAAAGAGCATTTCTGGTTATCCAGCATTTGTTGTTTCATTTCCTCCATTTTCCAAAACTATGTTCACTACTAATGCAATTCATACAGAAAAGGAAGCTTAATGATTTAGAAATAAAAGATCTGGGAAAAGCAAGTACAGAAACCATTTGCTTTATCATAATGTTCGTCCAGTGACTCTTCGTAAATCCAGCTTTGATGAATTCCTGCAAGACAGAATTTTCCATTCCCAGAACATGGGCTACCTGCTCCAACGAGGCAGGAAAATGCTAATAGGGAGTGTAAAGACCAGCACATCAGGTAGATCTGAATGCAAAGGAGATAATCAAAGGCACCTTGAAAGCATATTTTTACAATAAATGCAGACAGTATACATCAATCTTTGATAACCACTGCCTTTTGTTTTCTTCCAAAAATTTTCATTTTTCAGAAAGTGTGTTTTCCATATCGCTATAGGTTCTTGCTATGTTTATCTTAGGAAAATAGTTTCAGTTTATAAAACAATACTTTTTTGTATTGCGGATTACACTATGACTTACAATTGTCCCTGATTTGTGAGTCTACCATTTAGGAATCTTCCTAAATATCTTTATCAAAAGTAATCAAGTCTCCAGTGATAGAAGCCAAGAAAAGAAACAAAACAAAAAACAAATATATATCACCTTAGGATACACATGCCTCAAATCTTAGGCCAGATAAAATAAACATCTGATAAAAGGGAAATTTGCATCCCCATTTATGAAGAACCAAAGTCAAAGAAACTTAATGAAATGGAGATTACGGAAATGATATAAAAAGGACCCCAGACAATCAGCAGCTTGGGATTCCACAGCCCATGACTGGTGGGATTTGGAAGGTTGCTCCACCCACGCTTAGTGACAATCACAATCGAACTGCAGTGCCCCACTAACGTCGCCTGTACCATCAGTGGCAGCCCTCTCAGACACTGTTGAAAAAAACTGCTGAGACTCCAATCAGCAAGGTGGGGTACACAGCAAGGGGGGTATACCTTAAGGCCAAGTTGTGGCCATCATTTTCATGTTCCAGTGATCACTACCTTTCATGCATTCCACAAACAAGGCTGACCCTCACACCTCAGTGAAAGAAAGCTCAAAATACCAAATGGCTTCCACTCAGGAAGCCACCTAGACAGCAACACAGGTGACTGGGGGGAAGGCTCATGTTCAGTAAACACCAGCCAAGGATGACCAAAGAAGGAAACACTAGGGCTGATCTCACTCACAGGCAAGGATCACTAATAACATTCAGCAACGTACACTCGAGGAAGACACGTCTTGGAAGAAAGTCAGCTCCCGGAGCCAGGCCTGGGCACTGGCTGTGGTGGTGACTTAAGTGCTGTACAAACCTATCGCGAGGACTGGCAAGACCATCCAAGCGACTTCCACACCCCCCCTTTAATCCTGTCTCCCAATGCTTCCTTCTTTCTCATGCTTACATTGCAATATCAGTATGTGTGCCAATACACGCATGCACGTGCATGCGCACACGCATGCGCACACAGAATGAGCCGCTTCTCACCTCAGTGCCTCCCAGCCTCACAGGAGCCCAAGCTCAGCCTTGCCAAGCGTGCCTCAGCTTCCCCCCACTGTCCCATAAGACTTCACATCTATGTTTCCCCTTACCCCTTTCTCTGCGTCACATCACAGGCTCCTCTTGTGCCACCCCCGCATGGAGACTGCTCCACACATAAACCTAAGCCCTCTTCCTCATTCATGGAAGGCACCTGCCCCCTCTTAAAACATGCCCCCCACCCAGGAAGTTCAGTTTACACCTAGGTATCCACGCAGCATGCAGCACACTCTCAGGAGACACTGGACTCGGAGACTGTAGTCACCACTGCTTTGAAAAACGACTTACTTTTTTCTTTCTCTGTGGACACTTTTCCAAGTCAGCATACCTCCTGAAAAATAAGACAGCTATTCACAATGGAGCTCCCCCACCCACACCAACTTCAAATGTAGGCTGTGCGCCTGGCCATGAGGGATAGGCCTAGAGGGGGCATGCTGGCCTTGAAGGATGAGGTCTCCACTCAGCGCACACAGGGCCCAAGGAAGTCGGCTCTGCCTCCTTCCTGAGATTCCCAACACCACCCTGCCTACTGGGCATTAGGGTGGCAAGGTTATGGCAACTGCTGCCATAAGGATTCTTCTACACAATGGGTCTGCCTATCATTCTTAAATCCCGGGTCTTTGCACAAACATGGTTTCTCCAAATAGCTCTCCCCATAACCAAGTGACAGAGTGCCCTTCTCTATCTCATGGCAAGGAAACCAAGGCTCTGTGAGATGTGGGTTGTACTCCGTGCCCCACACCCAACCACAGGCAGAGGTGAGGACTGAAGTTCACCCAGCTTGGGCCAGGCCCTTGGGTCACATTCAGAGTACCCTGTATTATTTTGCCTTTTTTGGCCACCATGAATGGCTCCCTCCTCCATGCGCCACTCTGCCTTGGAGCCAACTAAGTACGGACCGAAACCTTCACTAACTGTGAGCTAAATAAACCTTTCCTTCCTTCATTTTGGTTGTTGGGTATTTTGTCCCAGCAATGAGAGAAAAGTAACTGAGACTATCAAAGTAGGGTAGCTCCTCCATGCCTAGCTAAAAGTCTGAAATGGAATGGTACGCAATGAGTGCCTCATGTTTCCCTACAGAAAAATAACCAATAATTAGTTTTGAAGTGGACACATTTTTAAGAGATAAGTACTGAAGAGAAAGAGACAAAGCTTACCAAAATTCAGGAAAGGACAATACAAAATGTACTCACTGTTGGACATCACTGGGGACTCTTGAGGACCTCCAATAAGGGAAGTGTTTAAAGTTCTCCAGCCCTGCAGCGACATAAAAATGATTGTCTTGCAAATCCTTGGAGTTGTCCAAGAGATGTCCATTCATGGTAAATAACCTGCAAAGGTGGAAGGAAGAAATAGGATATACTTTAGGACCAGGAGCATGGGGCTGCAGGTGTTTGCTGCTTGTGACACGATCCGTGTGGGAATTACAGAGAAAGGGCAGACTTGCCACCAAATGGGACCCAGTGGGCACTCACACCCGGCCACAGCAGCTCTTCCTGGATATGTATGCTCTCCACTCTGAGGCTCTGCTTGGTTATGTTTCTTTGCAGCACTGGGGATTAAACTTGAGGTCTTCATCCTGAGCTATAATCCCAGCCCTTTTTAATACTTGCTCTTACCAGCTAAAGCAAATACAGGGCCAGCCAGATAGTTCAGCAGACTAAAGCACCTGCTTAGGCAACGCGGGGACCTGGGTTCCATCCCCAGCGTGCCGTACAGGCCCCATCCCTGGGGTGCACTGAGACAGCAATTGAGACTGGGTGTGTGCCTGTAATCCCAGCACTTGGCAGGCTGAACACAGGAGAATCAATGCAAGTCTGATCTGTGTAGTGAGACCCTGGAGACCCTGTACTAAATGCATTTAAAAAAAAAATAAAGCAAATACAAGTTAACTTATACTGTTAGTTAAAATTAACTAAATACCAACTAAAGCTTCATGTGTTCTGGAAAAGATTCCAAACCCTGTGCATAATTTTTTAAAATCCTGTACTTTGAGAGGCTGAGGCAGGATGGTTAAAATTCCAGCCCAGCCTGGGCAACTCACTGAGTGAGTTGTCTCCGGTGTTTTCTTGTAGTAAAGGAAAGCAAGTACATGGTCTGAGATTCAGAAGCCTTTCTAGGTAAGAGGATCTGCAGGGAGGGTGGCCAGTGGTTGGAATTTCACCACCAAAAGAGGGTAGAGGCATCCAGGGCCATAGGAGGGGCCGGCACAAAGCCACAGAACACAGGGGTCTGCCTGCCACAGGGATGAATGCAGCAGGAGCAGGAGGATGTGCAGGTCAAGAGCAAAGTACTAGGAACCAGGCATGGCAGGGAGAGGCCTCTGTCCTGGAAGATGCGAGGAGCAGAAGCTGTAGCCTAGCAACAGTCAGCTGGAGGCAGCAGCCAGGGAGGGGATACTAAGCTGTGGAGAGGATGTGACATGAAGCCATGGACCAGGGCAGCAAGTGCGCAGTGAAAGGGAAAAGTGGAAGGGGACATGTGGGCAAAAAAGCACAGGTGGAGATGGCCCTCCAAGGGTCCCCAGGGGTCCTTGGGGGTCCCCAGATGGGCCAGGATCACAAGACAACAGCACTGCTACACCTACTGCTGACCTAAGTGAAGGACAAGGCTGAGCACATGAGGCCTGGCACATCCCAGGGGCACAGATGTGGGTGCTCCCGGCACTCCAAGAGGCAGTGCCTGAGATCACACCTGAGAAGGGACACTGAAGACAACTGTGAGGAGCCCTCAGTGATGATCATGACATGGAACAGAGGATTCCATGTGGAATGCAGTGCTTGGAGTCCTATTCTCTCCCTCCACAGTCTTGGGATGTTTGTTGCCTGTCCCCATGGTGGACTCTGATAGCTGGAGCAAGTGTCCTAGGGGTGAACCATGACATTGAGAAGGTGCAGGGCTGAAGGGCATTTCTGGGGTCCTGCAGGTATAAAGAGGAGTCACCTGAAGCTATAAGGATCGGGCGAGGGCAGACCCCACAGCACAAGACCGAGAATTCTCATCAATGTGAAAATGCTACAAGAAAAGGAGAGATTGCCAGCATAAAACAAGAATAGGAGACAATGAAAGAGAACATAGAGAAAGATGGACTTGAAACTAGAATAATAGATTCTGCAAATGAGAAGGTCAAGAGAGAGGGAACAGGGAAAAGGAGGGGAGGGAAAGTAAAAAAAGAAATTAAGATGTGTTACGTGCGTGTACAAACTCCTCGTGATGCCTGGAATCTTTAGGCACTATCAACATATACTAGTAAAACTAAAAAATAAGAAAAAATAGGACAGTAGAAACAGTACACTAGTGAGGTGAATTTTGGAATAGACATAGGTAAGGGACAAATTCCATTTAGAAGATAAAACCTGGGAACTTTTCTAGAGGAAAACAGAAAAAATTAAACTGGATCTATAAGGAAAAGTTCAGCAATGAAGATGAGAAAGTTTCAACACCCGGGTGATAAGAATGCATTGGGCATATCTAGCCTCACGGCTTCCGGGGACTCAGTCCATGGTCAGCTACTCCAAGGCAAGACACCATGGTGGAAGGATGTGGGGAGCTCAGTTCCTGGTGGCCTGGAAGCAGATCAATAGAGCAGCACCAGAGAGGAAGGGAGGGACCAGATACAGACTCGAGGACACACTTGCATGAGCTACCCTGACACACCCAGAGGCTCTCAAGCTGACTAGGTTTCTACAACCTAGCTTACCCACCACAGAGGGCATAAAGTCTGAGAAAATACAAACTGCTTTAAAGTATTACAGAGCTTACAACAGATAGCCCAGGAAGAAAATACTCATAGAAAAGTCCAAAGACCATGCAGGTAGGGGCAACTCCTTACTTCCGCACGCCTCCAAGAGGGAAGACTTTTTCTCCAATCGTGGCCAGCACGCTACTCCAATCTGACAGGCTGAATTTGGGTATTATAATTTTTATAGGTGGGTTAAATAACTTTCCATTTGTAAAAACACTGCAAGAAGAAGAAAAGCAGAGCATTCATTAGTACCTGTAAATGGGAGAGGAAAATACTAAAAATTCATAGAAAATATATGTATATTTACAGACCCTCAAAAACATCATGATGTGCTGAACGCCACCTAATATTACAGACTGGCCCTCCTAGGAGAGAGAGTGTGATCAAGCCTGCTGATATAGGAAGATGCTTTTTACAAAACCTAAATTACCCAGATAAATGAAACACTACTTCGTTCAAAGTATGCCTTCAATTACAGTGATGAGTAAAGTGGAAAAAAAAACGGTCCATTTGGGAAATAAATGGGGAAATGATACCTTGAAAAGTGTAGTTGGCCAGGCGTGGTGTCTCATGCCTGTAATCCAAGTATTCAGGCAGCTGAGGCAGAAGAATCGCTATGAGTTTGTGGCCAGCTTGGGCTACAAAGTGAGTTCAAGACCAGCTTGAACTGCATGGTGAAAGTGTATCTCAAAAGCCAACCCCCACGCCAGGCCCAGTAAGATAGGTCAGCAGACTAAGCACCTGCTTAGGCAAGCACAGGGACTGGGATTTGATCACCAGACTCACATGATCTGCCCCTGGGTGTGCTGAGCTGGCCACCAAGACCAGGCCCAGCCCTGGGAAGGCTGAGACAGGAGGATCACTATGAGTCCAAGCTGTGTAGTGAGATCCTGTACCAAACACATAAAAAATCCCCCCAAGAAAAAAAACCCCACAAGTGCAACCACTTCCCTCACCATGGAGCCAAGACAGTCACAAAAGAAATGCAGTAGTACCACAGTTCATGATACAATTCTTTCCACGACTCTGGTCACAAACTGAATTGGACGAGAACTGAATCTAATTCAATGGTTAGATTTAATGTCAACCTAATGAGGAAATTTGATTCAGTTCTCATCCAATTCAGTTTGTATCCAGAATTGTGGAAAGAATTAAGTTCGTGAATGGAGGTACCACTGTAACTTGCAATCCTTTGAAAAGATAAGAAAAACTCAGTTCCTCTCTGGCAGTCCTAAGCCAGCTTCCTTGTGCTCTTGGGATGAGGACTTTATTTTATCATTTGTTGGAGGCCAAAGGGGTGTCTGGGAGATTTTCAAAACACAATGCAAAATGTTAGTGAGACTTATTAGCCCATACCATCTGGCAAGTGTTATAAACTCTGACAGTTGAACTAAGTTAAGGTAAAACATAAGATTGATTTCCTGAAACCTAGAAGTAATGTATTATACCATTGACATCCTGCAACACTGCAAAAGCTTAGCTGTACAATTCTGGCTTTTAATTTTTTATACTATTTTTTCACTATTGCTGTGCTTTTAATAGAGGTTTTCCCTTCAAATTTAAGAAACATTGGTCTTTTTTCAGAGTAAATATAAATTTTAACTTGATGTGTTTGTCACAATAAAAAGAATTCATTTCTTCTGCCAAAGCGCCTTGCCAAAAGGGACTTCTGGTCAACCTTCCGTCTAACTTCTTCCACATTCAAAACACAGTCCAGAACAAGCCACGGGGAGAAGCACCGTGCACAATGCCCGGATGCACAGTTCCTCCGTGTGTGATCCCTGCCACAATAAGGATCGCTGCAGTGTTTTCAACATTTAGTCTCCCTGACTGTTTGTGCCAAAAACATTTCTATAGGTTACTGATAGTAATAAAAGAAATATTGAAATAAAATCATTGCTAAAAATGTTTAAGCTTTTCAACATACATTCTTGTCCTGCTGTTAAGAGGCACAATCATATGCATATAATGTACAGAGGTGAATGTTTGAAAAATAAAATTAAGATTACAGAAAAAAAAATGTTATATCACACTTCAATCCTCTGCTCCACATGCCACACCAGACCCTCCCTTTTGGCAGCCTGAGCCAGCAAAAAAAAAAAATCCTTCTCAACTTTAGGGCCAGGGAGGTGGCTCAGTAGAATAAGTGCTTGCCTGGCAAGCGCAAGGTCCTGAGTTCATCTCTGGTACCACAAAAAAAAAATACTATGAATCCCCTTCAAAATCCTCCTTGTTGGGCTGGCCAGATAGCTCAGCGGATTAAAGCACGTGCTCAGCCAGTCGCAAGGGCCGGGGGTTCAATCCAGGGCATGCCATGCCAGCCTCACGTCTGAGGAACGCTGAGATTGGGCGTGATGGCACGCGCCTGTATCCCAGCACTTGGGAGGCTGAAAACAGGATTATTGAGTCTGATCTGTGTAGTGAGACATTGTAGACTCTACTAAATACATAAAATAATAATAATAATAATAAATCCTCCCTATCACTTCAAACACAGTTATCCCACTATTTGTGTCACTGTCTGAAATGGCTCTGGAAGCCCTTTTCCTGAGTATCTGTACAATCAACTACAAATACAGTGAATGCTGCTGCCAAGCACCACCACAGAAAGGTAGGCTCATAAAACCACCATGGCCTGTCCTCACCCACTTAGCCACCGTGCGACTTCTGGCTTGTCCCTAAAGTCAAAATAACCATGAAAGGAAAATGTTTTTAATCTAGCAAAGCAGCTAGCACAGTGCAGCTAAAGACCCTCAAGGAAGAGGGCTCCAGAGATGCTGCAGAAAGTGGCGAGGACGATGGGTGGAGTCTGCTCAGAGAGAGGGGAAGATTTTGAAGGGGACTGACAACAATATGTCTTTTACTGTAAACAATCGCCCCTTATACTTAAAAACTGCTAGTCTTTCTGAAGGACACTTTGGCAATACAGATCATTGCAAGGTAAGCAATTAATTATGCTGAGCCGATGGTCCGTGAGACCCATCCCAGAGAAATGTGAAGAAAGATATTTCTCAGGTAGTTACTTACAAAACCAAAGATGCAAAAGCCTAAATGTCTGTGTTTGGAAGAATAGCTAAATAAATTACCACATAGCAGTTCATTAATAAGTTATGCTGGGCCGGGGAGATGGCTCAGTGGAATAAGCGCTTCCCTGGCAAGCACAAGGGCCTGAGTTTAATCCCCAGTTCCGCAAAAAAAAAAAAAAAGTTATACCAATAACCAAAATTGTTCATCATAAATTAATTTATCAGGAGAGTTGTCAAATATAATGAATGTTTAAAAAAAAAAAAGAAAACAGCAGCAGCAAGCTACTGAGGGAGTTCACAAAGGAAACACACTTGGAAGCAATCAGTTTTTTCAGAGGAGTGAAATAAACATATTTTTATTTTATTCTTTTACCATTTGTAGATTTCCACATTTTGTTTTGTTTTGTTGTATTTGTCTATTTGAATTGGGGTCCTGCTATGCAGCTCAGGCTGGCTTTGAGCTCCCTTCTTGTTCCAGGCTGGTCTCAAACTCACAACGATCCTCCTGCCTCAGCCTCCTGAGTGTTGGGATTATAGGAGTGTACCACCATGCCTGGATGATTTCCACATTTTTTAGAATAAGCACATAAAAATAAGAACAAACTATAATTTCTTTTAATTTTTAAGTTAAAGGAAAAAATAAGTTAGGGATAGTAACAGATGCATGTAATCCCAGCACTCTGGGAACCGGAGGCAGGAAGATCACAAATTTAAGCCCATTGTGGGCAATTTAGCAATTTAGCAAGACTCTACATCAAAATAAAAAGGCTAGGAAGGTAACTCAGAGAATAGGTTCTGGGTTCAATGCCTGGAGAGGGAAAAAGGGAGAAAAAAACAGAGACAGAGACAGAGACAGACAGACAGACAGACAGACAGACAGACAGACAGACAGAGATAGAGACACAGATAGAGGACAGAGACAGAAACAGAAACAGATATTTTTTTTCTCTTTTTTTTACAACAACATGGTCCTTTATACTTTTGTGAAGTTAGTAATGAACGACACTAGGTTGCCTAGCAACTGGATGAACTCCAGGATGTTCATCTCAGGAGTGAGGTAGCTTATTTGAGAGTTAGGATAAATATACAGCTACTTTCTCTTAGTTCATTGAGAATAAAAGTTGGTATTAATATTGTTTAGACAAGATATCATGTCTGCATCTTGTCCTCTGAATAACTACTATGATGACAACAACATGCAATGTATTAATTATTGTAACTGTCCTACTAACCTGTTTTGAAACTGTTTCATTGCTATTTTATCTTTTTTTTTCTCATTAAAATGAATAAAAAAATAGAAACAGGGCTGGCCAAATAGCTCAGTGGATTAAAGCACCTGCAAGCAGGCGCAGGGGCCAGGATTCGATCTCCAGGCCTGCCATGCCAGTCCCGCCCCTGGGGCGCACTGAGAGGGCAAATGAGACTGGGTGTGGTGGTGCATGCCTGTAATCTCAGCTCTTGGGAGGCTGTAAACAGGAGGGTCACTATGAGTCCAATCTAGTAGTGAAACCCTGAACACCCTGTAGACTCTTCTCTAAAATAAAGAAATAAAAACAGAGTTATAGCACTTGAAAGCTTGTGTCATTTTCCAAAAATGCAAACATGCTGAAGGTCATTGAAACAACTTGTTCTAAGCTCAAAGATTTTTACTTTAGATTATAAACTGGAAATCATAAACCAACACTAACTTTGTTCACTAAGGAATGCCCAGTGCCTACCTTGTAGTTGGTGTTTAAAACATTCAGATGTTGGGGCTGGGGAGATGGCTCAGTAGAATAAGCACTTCCCTGGCAAGCACAAGGGCCTGAGTTCAATTCCCAGTTCCACCAAAAATAATAATAATAAAGTAATAATAACAAAAGAAACATTCAGATGAGATGGAAGGAAATGTTTTAGCTCTCTTGTCCTTTTGAGATTATGTTTAGTGAAAAAAAAATTCTAAAGTAATATTTGCATGTTTAATGTGATATTTCATGTTTGTTTGAAGTGATTATTTAAAAAACAAGTGCAGTCAAAAAAGAAAGAGACAGAGAGAGAGAGAGAGAGAGAGAGAGAGAGAGAGAGAGAGAGAGAGAGAGAGAGAGAAAGGAGGGAGGGAAGGAGGGGGAAAACGCAGTGTGCTGCAGTGGCCTCGCACACCTATGACATGGGCATTCAGGAGGCTGAGGCAGGAGATTTACCACGAGTTCAAGGCCAGCCTGGGCTACATTGTGAGATCCTGTCACAAAAAAGCAAAAGAAAGTCTGCATGGCAGAGCAGTCCATACACAGGAGAATTCACCATCAGAGGGAGAGAAGAGGACAGAAAGGGAAGAGGAGGAGAAAGGCTGCGTGAGGGGAGCTGGGCAGGGCCAAGCGTGGGCCTTCTAAGGCTCCATGTTGAGCTCTGACTTGGTACCCACAATACTGTACTCACTTTATATGACGGTATATTCGATGACATGTCTGCCACCTGGACGGCACATTTATATCACAATGCACCACAGGCTTGATCTGAAAAAAGAAAGCATACGCCTCAGAGCGCCATTCCCGGGAGGAGACACCAGGCTGGAGCCCAGCAGCATGCAGAGCAGCTCTCTGCAAGAAGAAGTGAAGTCCCCCCCATCACAGATCACCTGCCATGGGACAGGAGGGGAGGGTGTGCCGGGGGGCAGATGGGTTTTGGGGTGTAGGGTGGAGTGATTTGTGCTGAAGCCTGTGCACCCAAGTAGAAGAGAACATAAGAGGTAAAGGGCAGTGTGCACAGAGCTGACAAACCTCCAGGAAGAGAGCACACAAAGCCACACCACAGGGCTGGCACCTGGGATACACCCAACGGCTCACCAAAAGTCACACTTCCCAACAGTGGAGCCCAAAAGCTGACATGTTTGAGGCAAGAGGTTGCCATGGAAACAGCAGGAGGAAGAAAGGAAGGCCACATAGAAGCCTACTTCTCTGGAGCTAAATTCACCTTCTGAGTCACTCTTTAGCCCACAACTGGAGTGCCCAGTTAAGCACAATGGAAAACATAACTTATACATACACAACAGTACCTGGCCATGTGCCCTGGGGTCTTCTGAAACCTTGATTGATCCAGCCCTAATTATCATGTCATTGACTATGCAGATCAACTCCATGCCCCCATGGGCTTTGAACACCTTGCTAGCTTCTCCAAGAGCATAAAAGCTCAGAACCTCCACTGCCCAAGGGGAAGGCCAAGCCAAGCTGTCCATTGGCAGGAGTCAAACCTCAGCCTAATCCCTCGATCCCACCCCAAATCTCAAGGCTGCAGAACCCTCAGCACCAAGCCCCCTTGTACCCAAGTCCTTCTCACTAGCTGAGCCCATCCTGAAGAGTGTACCTGTAGCTCCAAATGAATCTTTCCCTTCCTGCTCACTTGGGGTGTCCTGCTCAAGTTTTTCTCCAGGACCTCAAGCACCTACACAGTACCCACAATGCAATAACACGGTGGCTTCTGTTTTCAGATAGCAAGGTTGAAGTCAGAACGTCTGGGCAGCAGGACCACAACCCCATGTTGCCTGACCCCTCTGAGCTCCCTGCTGGGAACAGTGTAATACCCTGGGCCCACACAGCCTCCTCTCAGCTTCTGCCTAAGGTCCAGAGCCTGACACCCAACAGGGAAAGAAAAGGGGTGTGGCACAAGGGACCAAGATCCCCATTGCCCCAGCCCCACTAGGACAGCGTGTGTGAACACCAATGTCACCACCATGTGCTGCAGAGTCAGAATTCCTTCAGGGCCCCCAAATACCACACTACTGCTTGTTGACAGCTAAAGCACCATGTTGGCCTCTGTCCCCAGCCACAGGCAGAGCTGGACCTGAATTAACGAGCTTCGATCCCACGCCCCCGCCCTGCCATCACCCCAAGCAGAATGGTCAACTTTGCCCCCAGGAGCCTCAGACATCCCGGTCTGGAAAGATGGAGCCCCCAACTATACACTTCGGAGGCAAGCTGTCTTGTTACAACCAAGCCATCAGCGCCCCTAAAGGCTGTCTCTTGAACTGCATCTCAGACCTTGACTTCTTCTGGGCCTCCTGGCTGCTAGGGTCTCCCCCACCTGACCCCCAATTGATCTCATGCTGCTCCCCACACACACATAGGCACAAACACAATCCACAAAGAACAGCAATCAGGGGAGGGCCGGACATCTATCAGGACACAGGTTGCTCCTGTCATCCCCACCCTCCGGGGCACCCCAGTATTACTCTTCTGGTCATGTCGTCTCTAAGATTATTAATGTATCCCCACCTACTTGCGAGGAATGGAAAACAGCTCTGACACTGGAAAAGAGGCCAGAAAAAAAGAAGCTGCTGCAGATTGTGGGAACACACACCTGCCCACAGCCGTTCTTATCCCTCAGTACCCGGGACAGTGAACACTTGGATTGCAGGCATAAATCTTGTCAGCCAAAGCACTTGTACATCAAAGCAAATTTCCCCATTAGAAATAATGGAAACTAGGGCCAGCGAGATAGTTCAGCAGACTAAGCGCCTGCTTTGGCCAGTGCAGGGACCCGGGTTCAATCCCTGGCACCACATACCATGCCAGCCCCAGCCCCGGGCACACTGAGCCTACCACTGAGTCTGGGCATGGTGGCAACGCAGTCTGGGTGTGGTGGCACGCACCTGTAATCCCAGCGCTGAAAACAGAAGGATCACTACGGGTCCTAGCTACATAGTGAGACCCTGCACACACACACACACACACACACACACACACACACATACACACACACACACAGAATGGAAAGTCAGATAACTTGTTCCAAATCCAAAAAACTCACATAAAGATAATTACAGGGGCTGGTGAGATGGCTCAGTGGTCTAAAGCACCTACTTAGAACAAGCTTAGCAAAGCACAGGGACCACAGTTCAATCCCCCAGCACCATATGCCAGCCAGCCCCGCCCCCTGGTGGGCTGAGCTGGCCACACACACACACACACACATAAATAAATAAATTAAAAAAAAATTTAAAAAAAAAAGATAATTACAGGCTCAGGAATATAGCTCAGCAGCAAAGTGCCTGTCACACACGTGTGAGGTCCTGAGTTCGATTCCCACTACCCAAACAATAATAATCATCATAATAATATAATATAATATAATATAATATAATATAATATAATATAATATAGAAAATTGGAAATACAAATAAAAATAAATTCCCCTGCCATCAGCTCTCAAAATGTTTGCAGCTGCTGTCAGGAGACAAGACAGGGGAGGGTCACCATGTAGGGCTACTTTCTTTATCACTGACGAATCACTGCTGTCTACTGGCCCAGTGCCCCAGCGAAATCTTTCCCTTTTCCTGCAGCTTTAACAAAGAACTCATCCGGTGACATTTGCTTTTTGCCTCCTTTAGAGGATTTTGCAAAATGTGACACTGCATTGTCCTTAAATAGAGTCATCACGCACACTGCTGCAGCTTTACTGGGGTGATGCTTTTCTGTAAAATTTTGCAGTGTTTCCCACATATTACCCGTCTCCCTAATCTCATATGAAGTGAGGGATTGTGCTGCCTTTTTCTCCTCCTGCTCTGCAGAAGGTATCTCCTCCATAACCCTTTGCCACTGGGACACAGTTACCCACAATGCCACAGCGAGGCAGGGTGGGTTGGGGGCACCACTGGCTCAGCTGTGAGCACGTGACATTTGGCATCATGTGCTATTAATATTGCAAGACATCACTCATTTCTCAAGTTCAATTTTTTTCTATAATTTTATTGAGAAACAAATAACAATGAGACAGTTTCAAAGCAAATTGGTAGGACAGGTTCAATAATTAACACACTGCATACATTCTTCCTAGTGGTTAATTGCTGTACAAGATGTGGATATGAGATCCTATTTACAAACACCATTAGAACAAATCACTGTATTCATTAAGAGAATGTAACTACATATCTATCCTAACCACTTTGAATACACAGATACAAAACGGACATTCAGTTCAAATTGATTAGAACCATTTGCTCGTCTTGTGGTATTTTGTTTTTGTTTCTGTCTTTTTGAGACAGGACTTCACTCTGCATTCAGGTCAGCCTCAAACTCACAGAGATCCTCCTGCCTCAGCCTCCCTAGTGCTGGGATCACAGGCATGCACCCCCACACTCAACTAGTTTGGTTTGGTTTTATTGTGCTTTGAGACAGGGTCTCCATGCATATGTCAATCTAGCCTTGAACTTATTATGTAATATGTAACCCAGGCTGGCCCTGAACTCACAGCAGTACTCCTGTCTCAGTCTCCCAAAGGTGCCATCACACCCAGCCATCTAACAGAACACAGTTTACTTGCAACAAAAGATTTTATTGTATATAAAATTATGCACACCTGCTTACAAAGGATGAAAAATATCAAAACCATGAATGTCAACAACCTAGATTTACAGCTCTAGTCTGAAAACAAAACGGAAGTCATCCTCTGCAGAATTCTGTTAAGGTGCAGCCACCCTGAGCACAGCTTGATCGCATAAATGATGGAAACAATGAGCTAATTGCTCTTTTGATGTGTTAAATGATTCATTAACCCTGATGTCACCTGCCTAATTAAATAACTCCAGCTATTAAATACGTGACTTCAGATTGTTTTATTCATCATGCTCTGTAGAATAATCCACTAAGAAGCGTCCAGTAAACATGGCTACCTGCTAGCGACCACTTATCAGGGCTGAAGACTCATGCGTCCCTCATCTGTCAGGCCACTGGAGGGTAACACTAAAGATTCCCAGGTACCACAAGTGCACAACCCCACCTCTCTGACCCGGCTCCCCACAGTGGGTTCTTAGTCTGTGTTCAAACATAATTTTCAAATCAGCCAGCCCAACTCTCCAGGAAGCAAAGATTTGCATTATGAGCCGAATGTAGTGGTGTTTGCCTGACAGAAGCTGAGGCAGGAAGGCTGCAAGTTCAAGCCCAGCCTGAGTAATTTCATAGCTCAGCAAGGCCCTGCCACAGAATGCAAAATCTTCAAAAGGGCTGGGGATGCAATTCAGTGCAAAGTCCCTGGGGTCAGTATCTAGTACCACAAGGGGGCGG